GCTCTGGGCGGGAGCAGAGGAAGGGAAAAAGCGCGCAGGGCGCGGGGCGGAAGGGACGCCGGGGTGGGGCGAGGTGGCCCGCGGGCCAAGAAGGCGAGACGGGGCTGGGAAGTTTCCAGGGTGCGCGACGCTGTGGGATCTCCCGAGAGGGTTGAGCTACCCCTCGCTCCCCCCCACCACCCACAAAGGCCAGGGCATGATCTCGATGGACAGCCCAGCTCCCACCCCCACCGACGCTGAGCCGCAGGCCACGCGCCCCCACGCTGAGCAAAGCCCCCGTCCTCGGCAGGGCGGGGACTGGGGTGCACTGCAGGCCTGGGGGGCGCTGCCTTGGACCTGGGCGGAGGATTCCTGCTGTTTAGGGGGGTGAGGGAGGCGTGTAGTCACACCCCCCTGCCACCTCCACACCCGAACCACCTGCCGCTGGTCTGGTGGTCCCGCTTAGCTGAGCTGCCCTCACTATGGCCCGATCTGTCCGTTCACCAGCAGAGTACCCAGCCCGCCTTCCACCGAGCCCGACCCGCGGACCTGGCCCCTGGTGCAGGGGGTGGGTGCAGAAAGACCCTGGCCTAGGAGAGCTGTTTGATGGCTGAGGGGCACGGGCAGTGTCTCTGCCTGCCAGGCTTGAGTGACAGCAGCCCCCCCCCCCAAGCATGGCAAAGGCACCTGGAAACTTCTCAGAAGGATCCCACTGCAGTGGGAAAGGGTGCCTGAACAGGGGGCCCCTTGCCCTTCTCTGGTGCAGCGCCCAAGGTCAGGGGCTTGGTGGGATCTACGAGCCTGGTGTCTGGCATGATCTTGACCACAGTAGGCACTTTGAGGGAGCCACTAGACCCGGGGCGTGTGGGTGGGTGGCACATGTACTGAGTGCAGCTTGTCCCTGCCCACTTCTGGGCTCCGAGCCAGCCGGCACACGGGACCAGGCCACCCCAGGGGTCCCACTCAGGCTCCAGTGCCCCATTCCCAGCCCCCACCCGCCCCCCGGGAGGCCCATCAGGCCACGAGGCCCATCAGCTACGTGCTCGCTGCCACCTCAGCCCCCACCCCCACATAGGACAACCTGCCCTGAGTGATGGGCTGGAGCCCCCAGGCCTGCCTGGCCCCGCTGCCTGCCCACACGGGGCCCTGGGAATCCAGGTGTGGAAGTGTCTGGTGTCGGGTCTCCCAAGCAGACCTGGGAGGGAGGGCCGGCTGCAGAGGGTAGCCCTGCCTGTTCTGCCCGGACCTCTGGGAGCTGGGGAGGGGGTTGGCGCTGACCCCAGTGCTGCCCCTGAGAGCGCTCAAGTGGAGACACAGGTAGAAGGGGGCCAGGCAGGCCGGGGGCTCCACCACTCGGGACAGGTTGTCCCAGGTGGGGGGTCACGGAGCAGGCACTGGTGGGCCAGGGGCTACGGTGGGCATGGTCAGTGTGGGGGACAGACGCCTATAGTGGAGGAGGGGTGGGCTTTAGGGGGAGGCAGGCGAGAACGCACAAGAGGGGCCACGTGGAGGACGGCATCCCGCCCAGAGTACCCTCAAGAGGCACTTCAGGGATTGCCTTGGCTGACCAGGCCACCTCAGCCCCCTGCCCAGAACGAAAGCAGTGGGGATAACGGCCCAGCCCTCACTCGCTGAGGCCCACTCAGAAGGGTCAGCCCAGCCCAAGTTCCCTGTGGGATCAGCCAAAGGCTTGGTGAGGACCACGGGCCACGGATTTGACCGTCAGCGTCGAATCGAGACCAACTTCTCCCCTCCGCTCCCTGGAATAGGACCAGCAACCCCATGAGCTCCCTGCACACTGTGCTCACCGCAAGGCTCACTGCTTCCTGGGAGCCAACGGGGTGGGGGGGCAGGGAGCTGGATCCCTTTCCTGGAAGCCGGCGGGCCCATGGTTACAGAGCTCACCAGTGGGGAATGAGATGGGGAGGGGACTGCACCAGCCAGACCACGCAGGAGTGATTGCGGCAACGGCGGGGAAACCGCACCCCCATATGATGTGACTAGGGGGACTATGCTGACCTCTGGAAAAAGATGGCGGAAAACTGAGGCAGAACCACGAGGACGCCCCTGGAGCGTACAAAGAGGCTGTCTCTGGCCGCTGAGGTTCCCAGGAGGGTGACTCCCAGCCAGCCCCTTGGGTCTGTGGCCCAGGCCTTTCATGTGGGACCCACTGAGCCACAGAAGTGACCACCCTCCACCTTGAGAGCTGGCCCTCGGCCCCGGTTGGGGCCCACACAGAGGCCCGTCCCCCCAAGACAGCATATGTCCCCTCTAAGTCTGCCCAGCTCCCCTCCTGGCCAGCAGGCTGGTAATGGGGACTGAGTTTCGGCAAGCCTTGGGGGACCTGCTGGCCAGGAGGGGGCGAGAGGGGCTACTCCCCAAGGGCCACAGGACCCACCACTTGGTGAGGCGGGGCCAGGGTGCCTGGGACCGTCCTGTGGGTGCTTGACTGTGTGGTGGACACAGGGAGCTTGCTGGTTGTGGCACCTTCATGAGACTCAGGCCAGGGACCCAGCCACACACTGTCAGGGCGCCTCCTAGGAGCCTGGGGAAGCAGCTAAGGGAGGTAGAATCATCACTGCTGACGGGGACCGAGGCTCAGGATGGTGGCCATGCTGGAGTGGGTGGGTGATGGGGGCCTGAGGGGACCCAGACCCAAGCCACGCACAGTGGTAGTGCTGAGAGCTGCAGCTCCTCACAGGCCAGGCTGACGGCGGGAGACCCTGCCCTGGAGCCAGACTCAGGTAAGTGCAGAAGATGGCCCAGGTGGGCACAGTTATAGCGGGCAGCACGCCAGCCTGGGGGCCTGGCTGCGTGTGCTCATGGAGATGGCTGACGGGACACAGCCAACAAGGGCACCCCCACCGTGCACCTGTACCTGTCCTTCAGCTCACGCCTCCTCAGGGTCCCTATGACCAGATCACCTGCGGAGGGCCCCAGCTGGGTCCCTGGGTGGGGCAGCTGGGGTGTGGCCACAGGCCATGAAAGGCAGGACACGAGGGGCGAGCCCTTTGGTAGAGGGGGATTGGGGGTGCTCTGGCTGTGTGTCTGAGTGGGAGAGAACTGCCCAGGGTCAGAGGGGAGGGCTGGGCAGGGGCTGGAAGGAGGACTGGAAGGCTGAGGACACGGGGCCTGGGCAGAGGGGTACATGGAGTGGGCACATTTCAAACCCCTCGTTAACCCCACCAGGGTGTGCCCACCACGGAGGGGGTGCTGGGCACCAGGGGGACAGAGTGACTCGGCCCCAAGCTGGCATGACAGGCACGCAGACATGTGGCTCAATGGAAGGGACGGAGGCTGTGACCGTCCAAGGGGGTGAGGAGACCGTCACTGCAGAAGGGGCCAGATTCGTCCTGACGCGGACAGACACCTCCAAGGTGTGGGCTTGTCCTTCCTGCCCTTAAGACCTGAACACATTTGAGGCAACGTAGTGCAGTGCTGGGGGCTGTGCCGAACACTGTAGGGTGCTGAGCGGCATCCCTGACCTCACCTGCCAGATGCCAGCATCATCCTTCCTCCAGCCACTACCGCCAAAATGTCTCCAGCGGAAGTTTTCAGCCACAAAGAGAACAGAAGTTCTGCTACGTGCTACGACAGGCGTGAACCTTGAACATGTCACGCTGAGTAAAATAAGGACAAATACTGTATGACGATCCTACGTATGTGAAATGGAGCCCTGGTGGTGCCGTGGTGAAGAGCTACCGCTGCTAACCAAAAGTCAGCAGTTCGAACCCACCAGGCACTCCTTGGAAACCCTACGGGGCATTTCTACTCTGTCCTATAGGGTCGCTATAAGTCGGAATCAACTCACTGGCAATGGGTTTGGGTTTTTTTTTTGTTTGTTTGCTTTATATGAAATACTTTTGTTGTTAGGTGCTGTTAAGTCGGTTCTGACTCATAGCAACCCTGCGTACAACAGAAGGACTTGCTGCCGGGTCCTGCGCCATCGCTGGCGAATCCTGGAGACGGAAAGTAGATTAGAGGTACCAAGGGCTGCGGGGCGGGGAGTTCTTGCTGAAGAAGCAAGTTCTCGAAGAGTCTGTTTGGGGAGGTGACACATTCGGAAATGGATGTGGTGGTTGGACAACGTGGTAAATGTGACTGACGCCGCTCAGCGCAGGTGAAAATGGCAATTTTTTTGTTGTACATATTTTACCACAATAATAATTTTAAAAACGTCTCCAGACATTGCCAACGCCCCCTGCCAAGCTGCTGCCCACTGAGGACCTCCAGCTCATAGAACGTTTGCCCCTCAACATAGGGTCCCCCATAGCGGAGCGTCAGACCGAGCAGGACACTCACATGCCACATTACCAGCTGAACCCCGTGGGGACAGAAGTCGCCCTGCAGGACGCAGTGGATGCTGCATGTCAGAGACGCAGAGGGCTTCGCCGGCTGCACCTGATTCCACAGGAGGTTCCCGAGGGGCTGAACCCTGGCCAGAAGGGGACGCAGGGCCCGAGAGAGGAAAGGACAGAGGGGCTGCTGGCTCTGCATGCCAAGCCAAAGCAGGGCTCCCACCGGACCCCGGCCACTGGACAGTCTCCCTCGGGGGTCAGGGGAGCAGCCCCCCCACTGTGTCCTCTGGCTGCGCTTGTGCCCCTGGGAGGGAGGCCAGGCCAGGTGTGGGCCTGCAGCGCCACCTGTTGGCTGTTGGCCGCACAGCACCGGCTCGGCCCCCTCTGGGGTCCAGGACCTGCTGGTGGGAGGGGGTGCTCCACCCAGGGGCACTGGGCCAGAGGGGGCCAGGCCAGGAGCAGCATGGGGGCCAGCCTCCCGACATCACCCCCGCCCGGAGGCCCCTTGGAGCCCCTGCCCCCACGTCCCCTCTCCCAGCACGTGCTCCAGGGACGCTGTTCTGTTCCCCTGAGCCCACCACTCTTTCTGGGGACATTCCTCCGCGCATCCCCTCCAAGTGCTAGGCTGTGCCCCCAGACGCCTCATCTGGGCCTCTCTTCCAGTTTACAGACAAGATGACTGAGGCCCGCGAGGTGACACGCCCAGGGCAGGGGCGGGGGGCACTAGAAAAATAAAGCCCTCCAGTCGGCCAGGATCCGGCTGTGGGCGGGGGGGTGGGGTCGGGGTCGGGCCACCACTGTAAGGGGGTCAGCTGAGCCCAGACCCCAACGGCGGGAGGGAGGAAAGGGGCCCAGGCTGGGGATGTTTCCGCAGAACGAACAGCCAGTGCAAAGGCCCAAAGGCAGGACCCTGTTGGGACATTTGAGAGACCAGGTCTGCCTGGCCCTTGCACAGCGGGGGTGGGGTGAGGTAGCGAAGGGGCCACGCCGAGGGAAGTCCGGGAGGAGAAGGGAAGGGAGAGCCAACGGGGGCCCAGGCCTCAGGCGCTGTCCCTGCCCCTCCGCAGCATCTCCCCCGGCGCCCAGCCCCCTCCCTGTCCTGGCAGCCCCAGGCCCCGCAGGGCTACCTACCGCCCCTGGGGCAGGGGAGGAGACTGAGGCTGGGAGAGGAGGGGCGTCCGCAGGTCACGGGTTGGGGGAGAGCTGAGGCTGGCGTGTTCGGGTTTCAGGGTAGAGTTTGGTCCCAGCTGAACGCTTGAAAAATGACCTTTGATGGGGAAGAGGACGCTGAGGACGAAGAGGAGAGCTCCGCCCTCGACCTGCTCACCTGACGCGCAGGTCGGAGCCCCGGTCACCTGTCTTCACGTGGTTCCTCGCCTCTCCTGTTCCATTCCCCGGCCGCGCGCTCTGGGGCTGGGGTGTCCCAGTTCGGGGTCTCGGAGGCGCGCACCCACCTCCACCCCGCTGGGGACCCACCCCGGCGGCCGGCTCCTCGCCGTGCGCAGCTGCGTTGTCACCGCCTGGTGGCCGCGCCGGCTCCGCAGCCCGTGGGGAGGACCTGGGGACTTTCAGCTCCAGGCCGGAAAGAGGGCGAGGTCCCGCGCCCGGAGGAGAGCAGGGGAGGGGGCGCCCCAGCGCGCAGCGCGGTCCGGCCTCCGGGCCCCCGTTCCAGCGCGTTTCCCGGGCCGCCGCCCCACAGCTCCAGCCGTTGGTACCGTCCTGCCGCCAGAACCACGCCTCCCAGGTTAACCTAGCAGGAGGCTGGGGCGAACCTGTCCCTGAGCACACAGGTGTGCGCAAGGTGGGCCCAGGCTCTGGCCTGCTACCCCGCTTCTCCCCTGCCCCCAGCCTTCTCCCATGGGGCCATGGTCTCTAGATGGTCAGCGTGACCGGTGGAGGCTGACCCAAGTGGCGGCGGACCCACCCTGGGGCCTTGATAGGTCTGGAGTGGAGAAAGCAGCCCCACCCCCCCTTACCCAAATTGAAAGCCACGTGAGGTGCATGTTGGTGGGGCTGAGCCACCCCAAGTCTAAGGTCTCTCCAGGAATTTGGGAGACTCTGCACTGTAGGGTGAGGTTAAGGTCGCAGGGCCCAGCGGAGCAGGGGTTCTAGTGGAGGCCTCCCCATGGAGTCCCAAGACCCACCACTAGCCCTTTTCTGGGCGATGAAGTGAGTTTTTTTCTAGCTCAGCCCCAAAGATGACCTTGCCCTTCTGAGGGTCCCTTCTCTCCTTGACAAAACCCTGCAGAGGGGCCACAGGCGGGGTCCCTGAGACTCACTCCATCAAGGCTTCGACTGCGCCCTCACAGCCCTGGGAGACACTCCTTCCCCGCCACCATGCATGGTGCCCGGTCCCCCTTCATGGGGGAGGGGTAAGGACCCCCAGGACAGGACACCATGTCTGAACTGAAGACACAGCCCCTGGTCTGCTGTGCCCAGCACCCACGCAACCCCAGCATGCAGTGGCTCATACGCCCACCTGCCCCAGACACGACCACATCGGGGACACAGCTACAGCCACTACGGGGGGCGTCCCATCAAGACTGGGCGGGGGGGCATCGCCTGCTCTGGCAGGAAAGGAGCAGACACAGCCTGAAGTGGCTGCACTTCTCGCCACACGCCATCCCAACTACCTCCAACGGTCAAGTTTATTATAAAGGGCAGTATCAAAATAGAGGGCTCTGTAAGACCCGGATGTGGCACAGGGCCACGCGGCGTCCCAGGAGGTGTTGCTCACACGTGCACTGGAGATGCTGCTCCCGGTCATGTTTCCTGGAGGCCTCAGTCTGAATAATTTAAGGGCAGGTAGGGTATCTTCTAATTCAGAATCATCTTATAAATCTTCGTGGGGAGGGGGCTGCGTTGGCTTTTCCTCTTCCATTTCTGTCAGGAAATAAACACACGTCACCAGATAACGTCCCAGCGTTAAGGCCCCGGAGTCAAACCAAGAGGCTTTTCCTGGGACAAACAGCCAGTGTGCAGGCTCTGATGTCCACTCTGAGTGGACCGCACAGCCCTCCAGAGGCAGCTCGGAGCCGGGCCACACTCAGGTCCCAGCACACACCCCCACACCAGGATGCTCCCCCTCCATGCAGGGCATTCCCCAGACAGATGGGGCTGGGGGCCTGGGTAGCCTGGGGGCTTGGTTTGCAGCATCACCTGCTCCCAGGAGTGCAAGGGCCCTGGGGCTCAGCACGGGCCGTGTGGACAATTCCCCAACAATGTCAGGGTGACGGCAGAGAGGGCAGAGGACCACAGTGCACAAAGGCTTGCCACGAGCTCGCCTGCCACAAGCTCGCCTGCCACGTGGGTGAGTTCTTGCGTGGTCCAGTCTCACAGAACGTGCACTGCAGTGTTCCAGGGGCCTGTGAGGCAGCGGGCATGGGGCAGAACTGCAGGCTTTTGTCTCTAAGTGTCTCCGGGCAGTGCGTCCTGGGTGGCAGTTTTCCCCCAGCACTCTGAATGCACTTTCCTGGTACTGTGCTGGGGTCTAGCTATGTGGAGAAGCTGTAATGAGTCTGTCAGTATCCTCTGATTTGGTATTTCAGTTTATACCACAACATGTCTAGATGCCCACACGCTCGTTTTCACATATCCTGCTTGGGACTCCTGAGGTTCTAGAATCTGAACTCATGTCTTATTCATCCCAGGAAACCCTGAGCCTCGTCATCTCTCTGAATGCAGCTTCTTCCCCACTCTCTGTTCACTTCTAGAATTTCCATGAGAATCCGTGGACCTTCTCACAGGATCCTCCACTTCTCTCCGTGTCTCTTTTTCTGCAGCATTCTGGCAATTTCCCCAAATGTTTTCCGGTTCGTTAATTCCACCTCCATTTGTATCTAATCTGTTGTTAACCCATCCACTGAGCTTTAAATTTCAATAACTTCAATTTCCATTTCCATAACTTTTATCTGGTTTTATTTTTTGAAAAATCTTTCTAATCTGTTGATAGCTCCTGTTCTTTTCTCACCTTTCAGATTGCTTCCTTTAAATGTTTAATCACCTTAGACATGCTCATTTCCAAGTCCTTGCCCAGCAATGCTACTGCTGGGGTTCTGTGTGGCTGGCCCTGCAGTGGACTCTTGGATGAAGTCACGTCTGTGTGAAGCTTTACAAATTCATCACCCAGGAGCCCCCGACTACCCCGTCCCAGGGCTGCTTTCTGTATCAGCTTCTGAGCCTGGGAGTTCCTGGGCCACCTGGGTGTACAGGCAAACCCAGCCTGGTGTGGGTAGGCTGCAGGCAGGGGCCCTCCCCCCGCTTTCCCACTCCTCATCCTCAGTCCTCCGTTTCCACCACTCCCCATCCTTTGTCCCCGCTACCCCTACTCATACCCTTAGAACTCTCCTCTTCCCCCCGCAACTGCCCTCACAGCCTCCCTCCTCCCCCT